TGAAAATTTAAAAGTTTGGCAGATTATAACATCATTTACTTTCTGGCTAAATCCAGTATATCCATGTTTGACTGTTACACTCAAACGGCTTACTAAAATATTACCTATACGTAAAGTCATTGTATATATGCGTAATGGCATTGAATCTGGCAAAATCCCGGGTGCAATTTAGTATTTACTATACCTATTTTAGAAACCAAAAAATCACTGGCGCAATTTACTATACTATTTTTATTATCTGCTTAATGTGAGCGCAATTTACAAGAGCCCACCTACTGCACAGCAGAGCAATTTTTTTTAGTTTTTTTTCTATAAATATCAATAACATTTTATTTATTTGTTACAAAAGCTTGAACATTTAATAGAAGGCTCCTAGTAAATTGTTTCAAAGGCAGATGAAAACAATTAAAAATTCAGTCACAATTTTTTTTTTTTTATAAACATTTAAAGTACAAATATTGACAAAATACGTAAAAATGACGAAAATTTGCAACTTGGTCAAAGTTATCGGCAACTCGGCATCCTCATTATTTAATAGTATTTTTATTATTTTAAAAAAAATATTTGCATGTATATTTGATATTCGAATAAAACGACATTTTGAATACACCGAATTCTGAAAATAGACGCGAGTTTATTCACTATCAGTGTATTGCGCGACTGTACAACACGTAACCCGTTGGTAAAAACTGGAAAATACTCAGTCAAGCATATTAAGAACCATCACGGACAGTCAATGGTTTGTAAGAAATACAAATATCAGGAACTCTGCTAAAATTCCATCCATTAGACTTCACATACAGACTGAAACATCAAAATTAAAATCCACCATCTCAAATTCAAAATTCTCACACATCTCAAATATAAGCAGAAGAACCTCACCTAAACAGTTATTCATAAACAGACCAATCTCCTTCTAAACAAATAAATACCTAACTCATGAACCATCTCACACCCCACATCAAACCCTCTGAAAGAAGCATCAAAGCTTGGAACAGAGAAACTAAAACAAAGCAACGCAATATTCTATAGACTTATTCTTGGTATTATAAAATATCATACAGTATCATAATAATATTATATTATATTATGACTGACTGAGTTAATTTGTACTTAATATGTTTTTAATCTTGGATGATGGATTGTTGATATTTTCGTCGGATATTGTATGGTGGTGTTCCGGACGAACCCGTAATTATAGTTCTCACTTCTCAGGCTATATTTTGAATTGCCTCGAGTTAACTCCACGGATATAGACTTGTGAGAAATTTTTATTAACAAGTTTCATTGTCTTATATTTTTGTATTTCATTATAATATTATGTATGTTTAAATTTTTTTTAAGGTTATTATTGTTTACAAAACAACGTACAATAAATTCCTAACTGTAATTTTCTTGAAAACTTTGAAAACAATTAGAAGAAATGTTAAAAAATTAAATAACTCAATATAAAATTCAAAAATTGAATGATTCATAACAATAAATTCTTTGTTTTTATGATTATGAATAATATTATATTGTAATTAAAGATTTTGCTTGATTTTAGATTGTAACAATGCTGTTCTATCTTTCCTTAATTCGGTGTTTATTCCATAACTTCTAAAAATACAACAAGTCTTGTTGAACAAGAGATGAAAATGGTAATATTTCTTTGAAAAATTTTCAATTTTCAATTCTCTAAATAGTTTTATTATACCAGGAAAATCTAGTTTAAAATTGGACGAAATATTAGCTAATAAGCTATATAAAATTCAACCAAGCTTGTTGGTAGTTGGAGAAATTAATGATCCTAAACAAATTATGGTGTATACTTAAAGTCATTAAATATATTATAAATACCATAACAAAAGCTATTGAAATCTGTTTTGATATTTTATTATTTTCTATGTCTTTAAATAGTTTTTAATATTGAATATAAGTTAGAATCTTCAAACTTTTGATTATTTATTCAATTGCCTATAGGTACTATTTAAAAGTAAAATTACCTACATATATGATAAACCTTGAATTCAAGTTAACCAAACAATTGCTCAACTTAAAGTTTAAGTAAAAAAATTATAATTAAATGTATTAGTTTGCAGTTATTGGACAATAATTTGGGGTCATTTTTATATTTTTTCCTACCCAAATTGAATCATTATTATTGTTATTATTAATTATACAAATATAGTTATAATATTTAAAACAAATCGTTTATTAACCTTATTTTTGTATTATTAATTTAATTCATATCATTGTTAATTTAATCTAGTTTTTTTAGTTCAGTGAAGCTTGAATTAAAAATGGGTAGGTACTTGAGTACTTCCCATTATGAGTATAGATGTATTATTCTATTATACTTCTAGTAATCTAATGTATAATAATATATTCATAGTTCAGCTTAGCTGCTTAGGTCATAGTGGGATTGTGCTCTGATGTCTGATTACGAGATATTAGGTATATTATTATAGGGTGGTTCTGAAAATGCATCTTCCTTTCTGACTTCTGCACCGTTAATGACAGCGTAATCTACAGCTGTGCACACCTAGGTACCTACTATATTAATGGTGTCTATTGGATTGATTTTTTGTGAACTTTTAATGGCACTGCAGCATTCTTGAGACTACTTCTTACATAGGTACCTAGCTATTTGGTTATTTCGTCTCGTCCGTCCGTGTTCAGACGGTTTTAAATTTGTTAGCCATCTCGCCATGAAAGAATGGTGTTGAGTTGCACGTTATTTACTCACCACGTGTTGCATGCTGATACTTGGTTCTATGAATGTATAACATTGGTACCTATCGTGAGAAAATAGGTATGTATCGTAGGTACGCTTGAATGCAAATTTGTTATGTTTGTATGATGCGCGTATAGGTCAGACTGACAGAGATAAAACAAAATATAGTGCGCTGACATTCACTTAAAATTATACATAATAATAATATTATCGTAATTTATATGGTATCATTCATGATGGTTATTTGATTTTTGATTTTAGCTAGCAGTATGTCGTTATAATTTCTATATATTTGGTATGGCATTTTATTTTGTTGTTGATGTTCAGTGGATGACACAACCCCTACGCGGGACAGAGCAAGAAATATCGCACATTACGTAGTAAGTACCGTAGGTATAAAATCACCCAACAAATTTCGGACACCAGACTAACTGAGGAATATAATATTATATTGGTATATAATACCTATATGTATTTATTGACTTATTTAAATATTAAACCTTTAAACTTGTTTGGACCCAATTGAATACATGGCCCGACATGGGCATAATAAAATACATAGCATTCTTATAATATTTCATTATTTAAACAGTGCAGAAATCAGTGAACGTTTTGCCATTTAGGTATGACAATGTGTATAAGAAATTATAATAAAAAATTATATAAAAAAAAAATATTAAAGAAACATAATTTTTAAATGACAAAAAAGAAATTGAATTTACAACGGATCAATTGTATAAATATCTACTATATGTTCATAATTCGTATTTCGTAATAGTAGTTATAGTGGAAAAATTTGTTGTTTGAGATTTTAAATAAAATAGGATCATTGATTGAATGCAATAAGTGGAGGAGGATAATTGGAATGTTAGCCCTGTCAACATCACCATTTATATACACGTATAATATATTATTGAAATGTTGAATACCTTATAATTTATATAGTTTAATGTAATGTATACCTATTATGTTATTGATCGTTTTGTCTGTATCAAAAATAATAATGTTATTACGTAATTTACAAAATAGGCATAGTGGGTTTTTAAATTTTTTTATTCAATGATTTTATAATATAATATGCAACAGCCGTCCGCCTTAATATTAAATTCCGTGCACACGTCTTAACGTTTTATCAAGTTGTATTGTTCACATACCAAGTATGGTATACAAAAAACAAAATATATTTCGATTGAATCATGACTTCTACAGCAGTTTATGTTGACATTGTTAATTTCATATTAGTATATTGCAATAGGTTAGATATACGTTAAAATATATTATATATTTGTATCGATGGATTATTTCACGGGCCTAAGGAAAAAAACAAAAGAGATAATAACTAGTGTTTTTGGTGCACTTAAGAAATATTCTATTTTAGTGCTTTGTGCACTCGTAAAATAGTTATGTTACTACTATCTAGATTGGGCGTTGAACTCGGTCCAAAAAACCGATCACGACCCGAGACGGCAGCAGCAGTTCTAAATGTGTTCCAGCGGCATTTGGTGATAATTTTAGACTATTTGGTGTGCCTCCTGTCACGAAAGCACTTCAACATTTTTATTTCAATATGCAAGAGAAAAAAAATCAAACACATCATGAAAAAAGGCAAATAATTTATATTAGTATAGATAATTATAACAATAAAAATGTAATAATAATAATGATTAAAATACAATTTTTCTTCGTTTTAACAATCGAACGGAATATATATATGTATATATTATATATATAATATGTTAATGAACATTAGCCAATTAATTGCACCTATTTTTTCTTCTTTTCGTCATAATTATGAAAATATAATACAATATATTATATAACATACATTTGTGTAGCTAAATATATTATATATTATGTATGTGTATAAAAATATATTCGGTCTTCACTCAGTGATTACAGAAACGATATTGTAGGAACTAACGTAAATTATGTTTCTGCATGGTATATTATTAAGGTGTGCAACGTGATCGCGTTGTATTAAGCTTTATAGCATCATAATATGGGTAGGTATAATAGGTATAATAATAATTCTATGCTGAAATTTTAACGCTGTTTACATAGATAACATATACAATATACATATTATAAATATATTTATTATATTATTATATTGAATGATTTTTTTTTTAACAATGGAAAAAAGATATTATAATGACTTACCTACTGAAGGGAATTAAAAACAACATTTTTTTTTTCGAAAATTAATTAATTATAAATTAAGATATTAAAATTAAAATTAAAATGATTATGCATTCTAAAAGTGGTTCACTAGGTGGAAAAATATTTAATGATGCGAGATTGGAATCAATTTATCAGGCCCTCCTAAGGCAGGCAACGGTGCTTCGACAGTCAACACGCCGTCTTTGCTAAGAGATGATTTGATAGCTTCCGGATTGGTGCCTTTCGGAAGTAAGAATTCCCGGTTGTATTCCCTGTACACGGACTTAGAATCTGATTTTTCTTCATGCTTGGCGTGTACCTTAACAGATAGAAAACAAATCATCAGACAAATAATCACAAATAATATAGGTAATATGCCACATAATATTATATTATAATGACTATTATAAAATATAATAGAACAGCACTTTAATAATCTTTAATAGTAGTACATATATCGTACACCTATATAGTTGTTACATACCTAATTTATAATAATATAATATATTAATATTACAGGACACAAGTAGATTAAATGTAATTTATAAATGAGAGAACTCATAGTCTAGATTTTCTCTGCTATTTTGCCATATTTGGTTAAGTTTAATTATGCATGTTAGTTGTTGCCTTGGCGTTAATATACCTTTAGGTGTTCGACATATTATTATATAAAATAAAATATCTTAAGTATACTGTATATAAACAATTTAAATTTAAATAGGTTGTTCAAAATCCATTGTACTGAATGATATTAAATAATATTTCTAATCGAAATAATGTGTTAAAAGTACCTATACATTTTTCGAAATCAGACCATTAAATATATTTTGACAAGGCCTAAAACTAAGATATTTTGCTGCTGCACACCTATAATTCCACACCAAAATATTTTAAAACTATGAACATAGACCTAGTAGTGCACATGCCACATGACACATATAACTGCATTGTATAATTGTTTTTGCTATTCATTTATAATTAGTTATAATAAATACAATTTAAGACAATCTTCTATAAAATTCCTTGATACCTATATGGCTATATGACTTAACATTTTAAAATTAAAAACGAAATAGCTTGGGTTAATATCAGGGTTGGCACGAAAAAGCCCAGCCAAAAAAAACCCGGGCTGCTTTTCTGGATAAAAAAGAAATTCACTCTTAATTTTTTTTTAACTTTTGTTAATTTTATAGAAAAAATTACCTACACACTAACAGACAACAGAAATGTTAATAATCATTTAATAAGGTATTAAATACGTAACTTTCCTGTAAATAATTAATGAATAATTTAAACAAAAATTAACAAATACTTGCTAATAAAATAATAGATAGGGGAAAAATCAAAAAACAGTGCAGATAATTTTTTCGGATGATTTTTTTCTGAAAAAAAACCCGATAAAACCGCCCATTATTACTTTTCAAATAAAACCCGCCGGGTTTTTGGGGTTTTATTTGAAAAAAGGCCAGGTTTTTTCCAACTAATTAGTATATTTATTATATTATAAGCCACCCAATATATGGCGTAGTCGGTATTATTTTTAGTGTTAAGGATTTTAAACGAATACAATATGTTAATTAGTAATTTTCAATATAGTAAATATTGAATATTAATCAAATAAAAATTTATAAAAGCCGAAAATAAATACTGCACATTTAATATTAGCTATACTGCACATAGTGTGTGCTATTGCACACACTTTTAGGCCCTATATTTTGAAGATCAAGTTAAATTGGTTCAGTGACTTTTCTTTCAAATCATTAGAGCGTAATATGGTTAACAATGCATTGCTCACAGTAGTAAATTATTTTATGAATTAAATAATAAAAACTTAACATAAATTTATTGTACACTCCTCGATTTATGTATTTTACAATACAATTACCATATTGATCTGTAGATTTCTAAACTAGGCTAAGAAACATATTTTGGTTAATCAAATTAGTTACCTACCTAATTGTACCCACAATTTATTTTGAAGTGTACTGGCCTACGGACCTAGGTATACTATTTGCCTATATTTTATTGTTTCTATACTATGTTTATTTCCGACTGAACATGCAGTTTTTCAAATTACATATCAAATTATACAAAAATACAATATGAAATAATATATTACCTAATTCAGTACAGATAATATTTATAAATTATAGTAAAACAGCATAAACAAGAATGTTAAACTATACCTAATTTATAGATATTGAAGATATTATAGTTATTTAATAACATATTCACCGTTAATAAGTTACCAGACACCAGTACATAAAATGTGATAACTTTAACGTGGATTGTTCTTATATAATACGTAGTTTAATTGTACCTATATTAAGTACCTATATGAAGAAATTAGAAAATCATACAAATCGAATCACTCGTTATCTAATAAAGTAATAACACACGTATATACGGTATTGTCATCCCTTATAATAATCGTTTCTCCATTTTATATTATAGGTACCTTTGTCATAATAATATATTCGTGTCGGAATGTAACGGAGTAATGGAGCCTAATATAGTATAATATAATATTATATTATAATATTATATATGAATCCAATATGTAGGTAATAGGTACTTGCATCTTGCACACGAGATCATTATTCGTTCGAAGGCTTCTAACCATTTATGGAGTTTATCGGGTGTAGACAAGGTCGATTAAGGCGTGGGTCGTTTTCAAGTATGTTTGTGCCATGTGTGCGTGAGTGTGTGGTTGTTTATTTTTTGTTCGTCTAAATAAACGGGCACTCCCTCTACTGTGGGAGAAAAAACAGGTGGACTTTATAATATTATGTAAATATAGTAAAATATGTACTTAAATATACCTAGGTACTTTACGCTAGCTATATTGGAAAGTAAAAAAAAAAAAAATTATGAATTCACAAAATCCAATACCCTCCGGATTGGTGTAACAAATTTGTTATTAGATTCACAAGGTGTCCAAAATATTTTTTTTAATATTATATGTGAGGCATAATATATTGTTTAACAATAGTTATTAATACATAGGTAAACGTATATAATATTATGAATATCAATTTTTTTCAAAGCTTTATAAGTATGAAATACAATTTTAAAAAAACCGTCGAGGCCGTCGACGTCCAGATGACATTAAATGTGTGAAGGTCGTGACAAATCATCCGTGGCTGATTTAAACAATTATACCTACCTATGTGTTTAGGTATATGGGTTCTGCATTTATATTAGTATAATATAATATAACACTAAAGCGATTTACGCCATTATTACTGGAGGTGTACCTATACTGTATAAAGTAGAAATTAAAGTCGTGAGCTATTTTATTACAAATTTGTTTCCTGCTTTAAAAGTGTCTGCCCATCTACCCGCACATGCGCACTTGACACGGTCCTCAATAATATTGAATATAGTTGCAAAGGATTCCGGTACATACTATACGGTGCAGCAGAGGAACGCTAATAGTTATAATACCTACCGAGTGTATAATTTTAATACAACCGGTTTCGAAATCATCTCGTTACGCGTCGTGCTGGAAGTTTATAGAACACCCGCGATGTGTATTTTAAGCGTACGTCGCATCCGGTGCGATTGTCTTATATGTGCTATATCGTACCTACCTCGAAATTTCGTTCGTTATACTTATATACAGTAGGTACAACTGTATTATAGTAATGATAATAATATTACTATTCATGTTACAGCATAATATTATTTTACTGTGCGCGGCAGAACGCACAAACGCAGGTAGGTAGGTCACGTGATTACGTAAACGATATTATTGACACATACCAATAGTTTGTTGTCGACCGTCTTGACGACAATTTCCTCGGGTTCGTATTGACTGACGTCGAATCTGAGTTTCAACATTTTGTTGTCGCCGTCTTCTTGAATCAGCGGCGAGTTGATGCTTTCGACCCAACCGCTAGGCGTAGCCCCGGTTAGTCGGCTTGCTGGCAAATCGCCGTGGTTCGATGAGATTGTGTTCTGAGAGCTGGTAACAATCCACAAAATTTAAATTAAAAAAAAATCTAAACAATATCCTGTTTTATTATAACCACATGCATATGAAAAAATAATAATAATAATGATAAACAAAATGCTTAAGTGTCATAAATGTACAACGTGCATAAGATATTTTTCAGAAAGTTGTTAAGTGCGATAATAATTTATTATTCTTAAAAAGATTTTAACCATGTTGACATTCCTGACCAAAAAATTCGAGATTTGAACTATATTTATTATTAGATATGAAATCAGAAAAAAACATGTATATACAGACAAATTATGGCTCGAATAAAATCCTTGTAAAATAATACGGCTGGTAACCATTAATCATGATTCATGAATCATGACAAACATTTTGTACTCAACATAATTTTATATTTATGCGTTCCTGTGATTCGGTTGTGTATATTTTTTATCCTCTCGTGTTATTAATCAACTATGTACAATAACATTCATTCATCGTTGTACCTATAAAAGGGTTATTAACACATTTTTTCTACTAAGCTATTCAGGTTAAGAGGACGCTACACCCGCATGTGTTGTCTCCGTCTTACAAACGCGTAACATAGCAAATTACGTCCACGGAAAACAAACGAATCGGCATCAAAAAGTGGTTTTAGAGTAAAAATACCTATAATAAAACTTAAAGAGAACAATATTTTGGAGGGAACCTCATCGGCGTTTTTAAAAATATTAACTATTAAAAAAGTTGTGGTTATTTAAAAAAAAGAGTTTTTGTGCCTTCAATATCTAGCTGTGTATTTAGATTAATACAAAACCCCGATGAGGTTCCCTCCGAAATATTGTTCTCTTTAAGTTTTATTATAGGTATTTTTACTCTAAAACCACTTTTTGATGCCGATTCGTTTGTTTTCCGTGGACGTAATTTGCTATGTTACGCGTTTGTAAGACGGAGACAACACATGCGGGTGTGGCGTCCTCTTAATGAGTTTGGAATTTTCATAATTATTAATGTTGTTTTGTCTTACAAATTAAGTTACTAGCCAACAATGCTAACCACTGAACTACCCTTACTAGTTACTATTAAACATCCTAATATTCTATACATAGCCATTGCAGTATAGATAACCATTGCAGTTCTAGAATTTAAATCAACGACTATATCTGTTGCTATAAAACTCGAATTCTTGTATAATTAATGGAATTTGTTTAATGGAGTTTGTATAAATCAGTAAAAACAGTAAAGGTAGTTTCAGTTCTGATTACAGAACAATACATACCTACTGACTCATAAATTAAGATTTTTAATTTCCTGTAGATATATATATTAATAAATTATACATAATATAATATGTAATATTTCTAGTTCCAACACGAGTAACAACAGGTTACAAGTGGGTCAATTGATTAGATGGATCAGATGGTGTAATGGATTGTGTTAAATTTAAATTCAATAATATATTATTGCAAAGAAAAACGATTCTGAGCGAAGACGGTCAGTAAATGATATTACTAAGTATATTTGATGATATTATTGTGAATAAAGTATAATTTATATGCCTATAACCTATTTACGTGGAACCTTGTTTTAAATTTTCAGTTCATAGCTATAAAATTTGAACATTTTATAAATTTTTAACTACAAAATAATTATTAAATTTAAAAAATTTGATACATTTTGACAAAATTTGAACTTTAAATGCTTATTCGTAGCAGTGTTACTGCCCTAAACAGTGATTACAGACACAAAAAAAATATCACTCCACTCAGAATCTAAAATGTATTTTGAAAATAATATTGGTTTAAAACTCATTGATACAATAGATCATATTATTATAACCTATATTGTTTTAGAGTAACCGTGGGTTGGAAGGAAACTAGCTCTTTTCGATCAGTTGCCATTCAACTGTTAATTTAAATGTGCCCACTCAAAAATATTTTTATTTTTCAATTTGGTGTTACGGATGAACAACGAGGTCAAATAGTTGTATATTTATACGGCTTCTATTATACTTATTATAATACTCAGGAATAAATGCTTGAAACAATAACTTGATAAAAAAAAATTGACTAAAAGTGACCTTTTAGAAAGTGATAAAACCTTTGGGTTCAAAAAAGAAGGTAATAACATTTTGAGTATAGTTTTGCTTGTAAAAATTAAAAATAGCATTAATATTAATAGGCAGTTTTAAATTAAATAACGCTGAGCAATTAATTAAAAAAATATATACAAAATATAATTAAATCACTGAAAAGCAAACAAAAGATTACAGTGTAATAAAAAATAATTATGCCGAAATATATTATAATTTATAAAATATATTATTGATAGTAAAATAGGACATATATAGGTACCTACAATAATTTGTATACGATAAAACAGTTTAATTTTACTTTAGTGATAAAACTTAAGATATAAAACATCAGTGTAATTTGAATAGTTTGGTCGTAACTAGTAGGTAGGTATGGAGCAACACATATGTTTTGAGTGTATGAGCTGTGAGGTGGAATGTACATTAGAGCTAATATTATGTTTTACTGTTAAAAAAATTACTATTACCTTGAAAAAACAACATGTAATCAATATGAGTCTAAACAGTGCAAAAAAACACAATGCTGTTTAAAATGTAAACATGTTTAATTAATAATGATTAATGAATTATTGCAATCTCGTTTTAATATGTAGGTACATTGTAGGTACTTGAATAATATTTATCGTACTTTTTTTTTTTTGACATTTATATTATTCTAAATCATGGCAGTATAATATAACATGTAGGTACTTCGTGTACAATATTACGATTTTCTAATTGGGTCTCTGTTTAGAAACAACTTAAATATCACGAAAAGGTGTTTTACATAATTAAACCCAAAAGAATTTTTAGGCATTATTTTGTGAGACGCACAATAGAAAACCAGCTAACAATAAAAAAAAAAATAACACTTGACATTTCGAAAATCCACACCGTCCCACAGTGATCATAGTTCTATTTTTAGGCGAACGTGTACGCTCAAGAAAATGTTCGTTTTTATTATAATATACGTATTACAGGGTTGTCATGTAAAATCCCGTTTTTTCAAATATTTTTTTTATCGAACAGGTTTTTAATTGTTAAAATCGTGTTAAAATAAAGGAAACATTAAAATCAATTTCCCCTGGGGCTCTTACAATACACGCCATAAGCCCATAACTGTGCAATTATAATTTATAACATGTTATTTCTGCCACAATCTTTAGCACGAACATCGGATACGGAAATTAATTTAAAAGAAATATTCCGATACGACCAGATACGACGAAGGTTTGAAACTTAACACGCTATACTATATATATATATATATATCAATATCATACTACACATGTATATGATATGATGGTATCGTGTAGGCGCGGTCCCGTGACCACGATGCAATAAACTATAACTATTGTAGACCTATATAATATTTTGCCGCAGTGTGACAGTAAGTTAATATATATTATATAGTGTATATTATGACTATGAGTATTTCTGCGACGAGGCCGTCACCGACTTCGTCTAAGTGTTATAATTTCTACTACTTCCAATAATAGCCTGTACCGCCTCATACACACGTATATTTATATACTTAAAATTAAAATATATATATTATGTGTTTGTGCACACGTCGGACAAAATATATCTAATCCGAGTCGAGTAAACCAAAAACCTATGCTATGCCTATGCGCATCATACTCAAATGTACCTAATACCTATGGCCACCTGGGTATCATAGCCCATACTCCATAGGTACATCATAATACAATGTGAAAAAAAGAAACCCAATCGCTACAAACGAATGGATAATCGATTATAAACTATAATATATTATTAAACTGGCAAAAAATATTTCCAGCAGCACTGATACCTCAGGCGCTTCTCCATCATTTTCTAAAAATTATTTTAAGCATTGATAAAATAAATTAGGTTGTCATTATGCAAAAACATTTTAAATACTTAAAAACCCACCAAAAAGTGATAGGTGACAAAAACTTTTTTTTTTTAAACTTGTTTTCGACAAATCCCAAATCTGACCAGGCTGATTTTCGTAAGAATTTCACCGGGTGCGAGTGCTGTATGGTATAATACCTACTTGGTGAACATGAGTCAGGAAATCTCAAACTTAAGCTCCCTTATAGGTTTATTGTGCCATTTGATCTGTGACCGCGGTGTGAGTTACCTTATGCGGGGAATGAAATAATAAATATCATAATAACAACAATAATAATACACACATCAGACGTAAAAATGTAAAATGCAGTCCGACTGCAATTATTGCCAATTGTGTTGTGGTGCAATAATCAACGCGATTCCCATCACGACCTCCCATTGTTGTTTGCTAAACCGTGCAGAACGAACGCAATCAATGTCAACCCGCAGATGATTCACGAACCGTTTTGTATAAACCCGCACTCAAACCATAACTTTATAATAACGATATTATAATATTATTATTACCTACTAGGTTTTGCTCCATAGAATAAAATATAATATATTATATATTATATTATACTATGTAAGTTAATGCCTATTTCCTACCTCTATAAAACTATAAAAGGTACCCATGCACGCCCGCCATCGAGGTACGCATAATAGGTGCAATAGGTTCCCATACGGATACGGCAGTCGTATTTTAAATTTCAATCCGATATTTGAGATAGATAAACATCATACGATAATAATTTATTGTAAGAGTCTAGACAGTCATCGTCGTTCGTACAGGTTTCTGAATGTTCTACCTACCTAGTACCTACGTATTATTATTATTATTGTTAATATTTTATGCATCAACACGACCATTAAAATTAATCATAATCTATAATAATACATACGTATTATTATATAGGTATATTATATAGACAAGCACTGTCTTACCAGTGAAGTCGTAAACTATTTGAGGACAATTATTAATCAAATTACTTGAACATGTAGGAGGTCATAATATACTAAACACGACTTTGAAGTATTTATTAATATACCTACCTATTATGTAAATTTGCTTTAAATACCTACTCGAATTAATGTTTTTTTTTACATTTACATTATTAAAAATTCCTTTTAAACAATAAAGTATTGATATTTACCAATTCCTCTTCCAAAGCGGAGTAATAATATCAATACGACCTGCCTCTATATATTATATTTTGACTAATAATTAATATTTATAAAGGTATTTCACAGAGTACCTCTATGAACTATTAATTGAGTACCTAATATTGAAAATGATTAAACTATATGGTAGTATTTTAAATTCGAATTTAGGTAAGTATACTTCATTATTATGTGTAATCCTATTATATTGATTACCAGTGCTCTTAATAAATAGCCTTATGCAAATTAATATAGAAAATAATATATTAAACAATTGTGTATTATACAGACACTATGAATTATGATCTAAAAATTCTAAACCCTTTAAGGTGCTAATGTGCTATGAGAAACAAATGCAAAATTGGCATGCCAATTTCAAAAATTATTTTATTATTGTACTTACAAGGACTTTTCTTCCACATGTGATGTCCTTTTTAAAATATCGAATGACAAAAAAAACAACAATTATTTATTAGATAATAATATAATAATAATATAGGAAGTACATTAATATTTTAAATACCGTTTAGATAATACTAAATTACTAAATGCTGTGTAGCACAGATATTGAAATTAAAAATACCTAAATATCGAATTTGATGAAAAATCACGTCATACCTAATACTATGCTACAAGACGAGTCCGAAAATACGAAAAAAAAAAATAATATATAATAACGGTAAGATTGATAATATTAAGTCATATTATATTTTCATAATAATATACTAACTTGGACGTAGTCTTGAAAAAGTTGGACTCTTTGTTCATGAGTTCGGAACGGAACTTGGTCATCTCGTCTTCCATTTTTCGCATCTCAGCGTCGAAACGCTCGCGGATGTTGCTGAACTCCGAGTCGATCACGCTGAAGTCGCCCAATTTGATAGGGATGTCTCGTTTGACGCCAGTGTTGTGTGCCATTTATATTTTAGCGTGTACAAAGAAAATAATCGATAACGGACGAGGATAAATATTATATTAGAGGGGGTAGATAATATGCGACAGCAATAATATATACGATGTTATATTACTGCACACGATATTTATTTTGCGATGTGATATGGAATATTGGTTTATGGATTGTATTCCGCTGAAACGTGAAAATCGACTGTTGTAGACACGCAACGAACACACTCGGGGTATGACTGACGCCAGTGGGTCCGCACTCGGTCTATATGAGTGGAAAATCGAACACCCACCATTTTCACTCGGATGCTGGTCGAGCGCGCACGCGCACACGGCGTAGGCGATGAGAATAACTAAACGTATATAATAATAATATATATATATATATTATAGTACCTATATACGTGTAACGAAACGTTTATAACATATCATACGAAACGTTCCCTTTCTGTTTTTTCTCGTTTCGTTTCAATACCACTGTTATTATTATTGTGTGTGTGTATTTTTTGTACTTACGAAACCACCGGTAAAAACGCGTGCGCGTTTCGTCTCTGCGGTGCGTGGGCGCAGGCCGGGCCGAGAAATAAGTTCTAGAAATTTCCAAAACTATTATTATTATTATTATACATTTCTATAATTGACTGTCGAGTATAACAATTTATATGGGTTACTATGGTCATATATTTTTTTTTTATTCAACCGTTCGATAACGATACAATAATATCATACTGCTACCGAGGTGCGGAACACCATACCTGGCGACTGGCGTAACCATGGTGTGTAAGCACTCTGGTAACCATAACACATACCTATTGAGATTTCTGATTAAAATTCAATATTTGCGTTGTAGCAGAGTACCACCAAGTACGATTTGTCAACTTCGACGACATAAACAACTGCAAAAATACCTATAAGCTATAAGACCAGATATTATTGTCACAGAAAAGCACTTCATATTTTTCTGGAAATGATAAATGTATTTATTTATCATGTTGAACTTAGTATGTTTTATTTGTAGTCCAAGATTAGTGTATATTGTGGTTTATTTTTAATACATTAAATGCCTATTTATACAAAATATGTAATACTTTTAATTTTTACTGTAAAAATATCTTTCTTAATCATATCCAAAATTCTGTTTAGAAGTAATATTTTAATTAGTAAAATCCAGCTCCTTTCTCTGAAGAATATTGTGTATAAGTCTGCATTATCTACATACATATTTGTTTATCTAAAATTATTGTATGACGTCACATGTGTTTAATCTATTTTTACCTAATATTCATCACACTGCAATATTATGAATAATTTTAACAATAATAAACTATTATTTCACATCATTCTTTTAGAAGACAACAATTATTATAAATAACTTACATGCCATTACCTATTTATTCATATTATGGATTGATTTATCAAAACAGTATAATAATATTAGTACCTACTTATTGTATTAAAACTTGATATGCAAAGCTTGAATTACAGAAGTATATTATTTACTACACACAAATTATAAATGATGAAAATCACAATTTGTTTTGTTATAACTATAGTCTATATACTAGAGATGGAGAATTTACGTAAAAAAAATATCGGTAAATTTACCGGTAAATTTTACGGTAAATTTACCAATAGTGTGGTAAAAATGGTAAAATAGCTAAATCTTAGAGCCATTGTTATTTTTTATATTATACATTAGTTAATACGATTTGTACTAGGTGCTAATGTTATATACCTACTTGTTAAATCTAGTTCTTTCTAATAATAACAATAATTAACAAAAAATTTAAAAAATGAACCTAAAATATCTATTGTTCTGTATTAGACATTAGTAATTAGTACATTTTATGAAATATGAATATTGAATTATTCATATTACAATTAATAAATAATTTAAATTAAATTAAACTAAACTATCAAAATTCACATAACCTTTATTTCTTTTTAAGTCAAAATATTTATATTTAGACTTAACTTTTGTATTAATAATAGTATATTATCAATATCACATTATCTGCATTCTTGGTATCTCCCTATAAAATCTTTCCTAATTACCTACTGATATGTAATGTTCTAATATATAGTAGGGGTGGCAGAATATTGATTTTATAGTATATAACAAACTATATAAACTATAACAAGTATATTAATATTACAAATGATAATATCACAGAAGTTCCTTTTTCGGTTTACCTACTTTGGTCCAACCCAAAAAATTTTAAGGTAATTTTGCCAACTGGAAAGTGGAATTTGGTAAAAATATTTTTGTTGATACGCTATAGACTATAGAGTCTAGAGACTAGAAACTCGAAAATGTATCTGAAAATAGAAATATCAAATAGTCATAACAACACAGGTCGACAGCTGATAACAATATAACGATTGACGATCGACCGTATACCGAACAAATAGCAAATATGATTAGTACCACGGCTTAAGATTTATCTTAAACCGTGATTAGTACTTTATTCATTATTGTATTGTTATCATTTGATAAAAAATATATCTCTTTACAATGCAGACTAGGCGTTTTCGATTTCATTTGATTAGAGGGGTCACACAACATTTTTTTTTGGTAAAAAATAATTTACCGGTAAAAAAAAAATTGGTAAAATTTACGGTAAATTTTTTTACCGGTAAAAATTTACCTGGTAAATTTACACCACTCACATCTCTACTATATACTATAAGACTTCGTATCATGGAACTATGGAAGTTTCGCTCTGTAAGTATAATAGTCAATAGGTGTATACTATAATATTATATTCTTAATAAAATGGTTTAAGGAATCTTTAGGCTTTAATAGCATAACGTTTTTGTTCGAAAATGTGGTTTTAAAATTGAAATAAAATCATGATAATTAGAATTTAGAAGTGGTTCAATTTTACCCAATAAATGTTGTAAAAAATTTAACTAAATTAACAAAATATTTTTAAATAAGTACATAATATACATTCACTGGCAACCAAAAATACGTTTATTGGTACTTTATTTAGTAATAATACTTGATGTTTGACTCTTCTTATTTTTTTTATTAGATCGAAAATATTTGGATCTAAATTTTGGCACAGTTTGAAATTAAATTTATCGTAAAGTGCACACAGCACGTTATAATATATTAGTTCAAGGATATAATGTGTTAACGATAGTCACTATAAGTTAAGGTTAAGTGTTACTATTTTAACTTTCCTAAAACAAATTTCTTTTGTTTCTATTATTAATTTTGCAGATATTTATTATAAGAGTGCCTTCCGGCTTCCTTAATTTAAATTGAATGGATTAATAGTAAGTTAACTTTTGATAATTCATGTTTTGGCACACCACACAAATCTGTTACCCGGAAGTCACAACGCCTGTATGCAAGCTGTTCACTATATAAATGCAAAAGCAGCAATATAAAACTTTAAAGAATGCAACTAAAGTCTATATAGGTACCTACTTAAGTTAATTGAGATGTGTTAGTTACTTTAATGTTGAACTCTGACACCGACATGTCCAAAATACGTCCAATTTTTAATCATATAAATAATGAACTGTGTGAACATAACTTTTTAAATGCGGAGTGCAGCCAGAGTTACGTCATGAAGGTTCGAAATATTAATCAACTATTTCGGGGGGAGGGGGGGACAAACTGCGCCGCATCATTGTACCAATAAACTATAAATACTCCAAACATGATATGTTTGCCTATAATACCTATAATAAATACCTATTACCTAAATTATAGTCTATACTCTGTACGATCGTTAATTTTTCAAAACAGGCAAACAGCCCTCATTCGATATCCGTAGCGGCTTATACACTGCAGTATATATAGGTACATGGTGATTATTTTATTATATAGTAAACATGCTTCACTGTCTCGACAAGTAGGAAGGTTAGCCTAGGTATCTACCAACGTTTTTTGAAATACTATTATTATATTATACGTTTTTAGCTTATTATTCCAAAAAATACGATTTTCCTGGTATTTTAATATAAAATGACAATTGAATTTGGAATAAGTAGTTATAACGTCTTATGAGTATTGACATTTTACAGTTTAGATGAGCTGTGACGGACGACGGTAAGTGAATTTTGCAAAAAGATACTTTGTTAGTAGATAATGAAGTTCCTTTTTTTAACTTGATAGTAATGTAACTAAACAAAAAAAGTAACCTGAGAGCAATTTAATTACAATTTTGAAAGATAATTCTTAATGTAATATAATAACCAAAAAAACAGAACTTCCCCAACACGGACCACCTACACTACTCCGCTTATATAACCTTGAAACCCTTAGAGTTACGACTAATCAACTGCTCGTTTGAAATTCGATTTCTATTTATTTCCATTTTCAGTTAAATATTCTGTTTCTAGTATTAAATGTAGAACGTACACTGTCATTCAAAAGGCAACATGTATAATTTGTTTCAAAAATGTTGTTTTCAAATGATTTCAAATTATCAAAAATAATATTTTCCTGGAAAATGAGTGTTTGTAACTTATTATAATGATTAATTATTCTTAAAGAATCGGCCTATGTGTATTATACTATTTAGGTATACTGCCAAACGTAAAGATACATTTTCAATGCTGAATACACACTGCATAATAATATATAATGCATTGTGTTATAATATAAAGTCCTGGATAGGGGATGATTTTATAAATGGTTTCGCCCACTGATCCTTCAGAGGCAGGTGACGACCACGCTGCTGCTGCCACTGCCACATTGCGGTGGCGTGATGCGTCAGCTGCATCAGTGACTAGTCGATTATCGCGCGAGGGTGTCGATATGAAAAAGTATAGGTAATATGCAGTTTATATCCGCAGTGCAGCTATATAAACGCTACAGTGGGAGGGATATATATCTGGGCCATTGCACAACTCAATATTTAAGATAACCTGTAATTTAACCTGCAGGAATTAAGGATTTCAAATATTGGTATTCCAGACTTTTACTGTACATATTTTACCAGTTCAGATTTCTACTGTCCTACATGGTTTAAAGTTCAGATTTCAAAATGTCAGGG